CTTTTTACTGCTCTCGGGACAAAGGGCCCTGCCATGCTTCCCTGGCAACCTCTCAGCACTGTGGTGTTCACAACCCAGTCTTTTGTATAATCCACAGTGTAACTCTGACAGGAGGGGAACCACCGACCCAGAGAACACTGTGCTTGGATTTGCTACTTCCTGCAAAAGTCTAATACAGCTACCGTCCTCCCATCTGTACCAGGGGCTCCCACCAGTTGCTCTGGCCCCAGAATGAACAGACTTGGTTCTCTTGCAGGGGAAACTCTCATAGTCCACAAGACTCTGTCATGAAGGGAACAAACACGAAGCAGCGAGGAGAAAGATCCAGAGCAGTGATAGGGGTCTCTCTCCTTATGTTCCTGGAGAGTCTCACCTCAGGACTGCCAAGCTGGATTTAACTGAGCATGTCTGTGATTGGATATGGCAGCCAGCATGGTTCGCCCTGCTTTCAGAACCCCTAGCTGGTGTTACCTACATGACTTCTCACCCCTATAGATCAGATCCTGGGGAGGATGAACAAGATCGATGCAGATCCAAAGGACATGGTACCCGATAAACTCTCAAAACAACGCAATGCTCATGATGTGTTTCTTGCTTTAAACATAGAAATGAAAAGTTTCTGCACTCCGATAAGCCTCTCCGCTGACACAGTAATCCAAATTAGACTAAATTAAAATGAATTAGGAAAACCACAGGTTTAACAGATACAATGCTCCTGGATGGATTTCCAGCCCCTCAAAGAGGAGATGGGAAAGGAAGACCAGAAAACTAGGAGGCAGTTTAAGTACCCTGTGGGAGTGAGCATCTCTGGGGGAAGGGGTCATCATTTGGCAGGCTTTCTGAGATGCTTCAGGGTTTGGAAAGAGATAGGGGAGGGGACTTGGGATGGAGCTCCCACGAAACATTCCAGATTCTTTGAATCTATGAATGCCAGGGACTGGCGTGAAGCTTCCATCAGAACACCCCAACCTCTTTGGGTCTATAGATGTCAGGGGCTGAGGTAAAGCTTCCACCAGAACAAGAAAAACTCTGGCTGCACCCAGTACAGACCCATAGGACAGTGACTGCACAGATTTAAAACAGAGGATCTATGCTCTCCAAATAGCCTCGGTTCTCTATTCTCTTCACCCTGGTCAGCCTGACCCACAGGGGGTATTCAAGTCACTCACTGTACCGACAACTGAGAGGGGCTAAAGGCTTCCTTTTCCCAACTCATAACAGCTGCAGCCTGATGTCACTCTGCTTGGGATCAGAGCCCAGTAGAGGAGCTCTTAATGGAGACTTATTTCAATGCAGGAACAACCTAGGGCACCAGACCTGAGGACACAGGACACAGCTGTGTTTGAATCTCAGATTTAAATTTTTTTATTACAATTATGTCCCAAACTATTTGTTTGCTGTATTTTACCCCACAAGCTTACTATTAACCACTCCCCTTTAATAAGTATTGCCAAGTAACCAGAGTTTGAGTCTAGGCAGAGAAAATATGCCTATTCCCTTCCTTCTCCTCTTGGCATTAGACTCCCTCAAGGAGAGAGGGCTTGGCTAGAAGACAGGGGAAGAGGCACTGAATGATTCGGATTTGGGGATCTCTTGTGAGTCCTTCAAACGCAGAGGTTTGTGGAGACTGATACAGTGATTGCCACAAAGAGTATAAGCACCTAGAGTAAGGGAAGCAAAGCTCCCAGGCTAGCAGGCTGTAGGTCAGGGATCTAGGCCGCCATCCTAGTAAACACCTGTGTCACCTTCAGTGAGTAATTCATCCACTCTGGGCTTGAGTTTCCTCAACTGTAAAATGCAAAGCCCACTGCCCTGACTCAGAGACCTGGGACAGCAACAGCCCACCTGAGGTGTCAGGGGTGGGGACACTGCCTCATGGCACAGATCCCTCCCTCTTCTGGAGGCCTGGGGGACTCTGGGGCTCTAATGTTGTCTTCCAGAAAATTCTTGTCTCTGAAGAGGGAGGTTAGAGTGACCCACAGTCAGAAGAGGAATGCTTAGGCAAATGGTTTCCTTCGGACCAGTCTTTTCTTTAAGCCCCTGGATGCTTCTTTAAATGTCAGAATCCCTCCATCTTAAGCTTTGTTCTTGGACTCTTTATATTCAGTTTTCTAGAATGTGCGATACACTTGGTCATAGATGAAATACAAAAGATCTTTTAAATTAGAATGCTGCTGGTGATAAGAGTATAAGGTAACACCACCCATTTTAAAATATCAGTAAAAGTTTTCTTTTAGAATTGCCTGTGGAATCCCTCTATACTTTAAGAAAATGTTTACTCACTAGTGGGAAAGTCTTGGAACTTGAGAATGGTGTGATATTTGGGACTGGAACCAACTCTGAGAAATGAAGTGCTTGAAGTGGGCATTGCTGCTTCTACTATAACACCAGCCATCTTCAGAAAGAAGCCATAGGGCTTCTAAAACACACTCAAAGTAGTGCCTTTTAAGAACGGTTAAGGCTCCCGAAACATTTGAGCAGGGTGTTGGTGCGGTTCTCCAGGACAGAAACAGAAGTCCAGAGATTATCTGTATTCTATTTCTGTTGATCTTCGCTTCTCCCTGTTTGACTGGAAGTTCACTGAGGGCGAAGGGAATCTTCGCCGTTTCATCCACATTGTGCTTCACGTGATGCCGTGCCCAGCCTTTGCTCCATGCCAGCTGGCTGACTGAGTGAATGAATAGGACGCATCTGTAGGAAATGGTCCTTAACCAGCTCAGAGAAACTCCTGGGAAAATGCTGACGAGGCTCACCCTCCTCCTGTAGTCCCTGCCTTGGGCTGCCATATTGGTTTCACCAGAGAGTGGGAAACACAACATTCCACGCTAGTTGTACCGACCATGGGAAAATCCCACAGGGATGGGGTTACCTCACACTGCAGATCGTTGCTATCGTTTCTCCCACTCTCCTTCTCTCTCAATCCGGACCCCATTTCGTTTTCCTCAGTGCTCAGCTGATTATATGTCTGACTCCAATATCAATTATTCTACTTCCTTTCTGCTCTGCCCTCCCTCCCTCTGCCAAATCCTCGTGTGTGCGCAGCTCTTCCCTGTTCCCATAGCCTCTCCTGAACTGAGAGGAGACGGGACAAGCCTCAGCAGCTACCCTGTCATGAGTCATGTCTGCAGCATTGCCAGCAAAAGGAGTGAAGAGGGATGGGCCTTAGGGCGCGGGGTAGGAAAGGGATTTTCAGTGGTTGTCAGAAAGCGGGCACAAGGAGGTGTGGGGCTGTTTGTGAGCATTAAAAGGCAAGAGAGGTAACTAAGGATTAATTATCTAGAAGATGATGTTAGAAAGGCACAAGCCACATGAGGTATTTTAGAAACACCCCCTCCCTCATTTCCATGGTTACACTCTCCGTTTGATAACATAGCTAATGTAGCATGATATCAACATGTGAATGAAGGAGAAAAACTGGTACCATCAGTCTCATTTTAGGGAGGAGAAAACTGTTGCCCAGAATGGTTACAAGTTTTATCCAGAGTCACAGAAGAGAGTAGAAACAGCTCAGAAACCTCTACGCTCTGGCCTGGGAACACGGAACACGTATATTGTTAGCGTGATCACGAACATGTATAATGTTAGCATCATCCACTTGGATCAGCAAGTCCAGTTGATAGCCTTTTTGGGGTTTTAGCCAATCCATTTACTCTGCATTACGAAGGCGTTTTCTGAATCTATGTGGACATCATCTTTTGTGTTAAAGCCATTTCACATCTATGAGTGTTCTGTAAGCTTAGCTGGCTGGATGAACTAAATTTATGCTGTACTGAGAGCGACAATGGATATAACCCCTGCCCCCTAAGAAGGATGAGAATTTGTAGCAGACGGAGTTGTTCTTTAGTCTCTAGCTTACAACATTCATGGAAGGTACATCCTCCACAGTCAACCGCAGCAAAACCCACGAAGGAAGGAAATAAAGCCACAATGAAGGAACGTTACATCCCCAACCCCCCCTTCTTTGCACAGGACCCCAGGATCTTCAGCAACTTGGAGCAACACCTGTGATCATCTGTTCAACAAGATGCTGCTGATCCTGGAACCCCCCGGAGGACATAACCACGGCTTTGCGTGGAGGCACATTTTTTATCCCTGAACCACACATAAGACTTTCCGAGAGCAATGCAGGTTAGAGGTGAAACTAGCAAAAGTAAAACACAGAGCTCATGGAATTTGAGGACTCTGGGACGCCTTGGCTACCCGTGTCCCTGGTTTAGGAACAGGACGAGTAAGTACTGCTTCGTCTGGTTTACCCCAGCACCTGCCACGGTGCTATATACAGAGCTCGGCCCTGTAGGTCTCTGCTCAGCAAACGGGCATGTGGGTGGAGGGTGTTAAGGAAGACGGCCAGAACCGGATTAAAGGATCTAGAATTATCTCCACCCACATTAATTTTTTTAAACCTTACAAATTGTAATCTGCTTTTTATGTATATTAGTTCATTTAATCTTGACAATAACCCAAGAGGACTTTGTTATATCCACTTTGTTTGTGATGAACTTGGGACCCGGAAGTGGAAACCCAAAGATACATGCTCAGTGAGTGTCAGGGCCTGAGTTTCAACCCAAACATCTCTGACTAGTAAAATCAAGCAAAGCTCGATTGCAAGCCAAGGCAGCCTTGTCAGAAGTTGTTGCAATGGACATGATCTCCTGGTGTCAGGGGGCCTTCTGGATCCTTCTTTGACTATCAGTACACATGAAGAGGGAAAATACTTCATGATTTCTCTAAAAGAAAACCTCTTTGTACAAAGAACCTCCAGGATTCAGACTTTTCACTTGAGATACCCAGAAATCCCCAGTCAGCATCAAAGGAGACTGCACAGAGTTCCCTGTGAGGCAATGGCCAACCTAATAGCCGTGGTCAGACCTGCAGCCCTCATGTACTGACTGAAGTCTGCGTTTCTCTTTCTGAGCAACCAGTGAAAGCTTTCTGCACCAGGAACCCCAGACCATGCTAGCAGATATTCTAGATCTTTCCAAGTGGAAGCAGTTCCTTACCGGATATCCCCATGAGCCGTTCCCCGCCTGGAACTTGGAGAAGTAGCTGCTTCTGCTTGTGGTCCCATAGTTGTTGTAGTTGTCGGCCAGCCCGTCATACATGGAACCTGGAGGGCAGAGTAGGGAGGTTAGGGCAAGGATGACCATCATCTTCACCCCTCCCTGCTCCCACGCTATCACCCACATCCAGGGTCACCACCTCCATGGACAGAAGCAGTGTGAGTTCCTGGGGAAGGGTGGAGAATGGCTAGTCATCTACTGGCCAAGCCCTTCTCTCTCCATATCCTCTATAGCCAGGGCCCAACAATAAGCCACCAAACTGCCACAAAGACAGTTCTTAGATCCCTTGGAAGATATTGAGACCTACAGTTCAGGATCGGGCCTGGAGAGCCTTGCAGAATGGCAGTTCCAGCACAGGGAATCACCAGTCCCAGTCCGTGTTCCACAAAGATGAGCTTCCCATTCGGGGGAGGAAGGCAGGGTCTCGACATCCCAGGTCCAGAGCCTCAAGGTCAGAGCCACACAGCAGTGCACACTCTTTCAGTCCGCTCCTGTCAGGACTGTGAGTTCCACCCTGAGCTCAGCCCCCACAGGTGATCAGGTAACCTGCCCCTTCCTTCTCTGAGGTCCTCCCGCTGGTAAAGGGGGAGCAAAGATCAACCTCAAAGGCCCAGTGAGGATTAATTAATGTTTTCACAGTGCTTGGAGATCTACAAATGACAGGCTCTGAGGGAGGACAGAGTGTCATTAGGGTTATTAGCGGCAAAGTGGCTTTGAATTACAAAAAGCAGGCTGGATTTGAGGTTCGTGGCAGGGACGGATCTTCCTTCTTTCTTTCACAGAATGGCAGGGAGTGGGCAGGCCTACAACGCAACCCCAACTTCAAGCAAGTATGCCTGTTTGAGATCCTAATGTCATGAAACATGGCTCACTGCAACATGTCATTCTCTGTGCTGAATCTGTCTTCTCTTCTGGGCTACAGCTACCACGTTCCACCCGTCTTTTAAAGCAAGGCTCAAGGCCTCATCTCCTTCAGGAACCCCCAATCAAGACAATCTCTCTAGTCTCTGCTATATATATCCTGCCCTTGTACTTCAAGTCATGTGCTGCCTAGTGTCCACATTTTCTTGGCTTACATTGAGAATTCTATAAAAGCTCAGCCATGGTTCTCTGGCCTGTAAATTCATAGCAAGGCTTGCTTACTCTCACCTAATGTGTCCTCTGGGTGAGCAGGCAGAACCTTCTGACAGGGATGTGCAGGATGTGTACCCCAATCTCTGAAGTGATACTTGGAATCCCCCATCAGAAATCCTGTCTAGAGGGGAGGGCCCTGGACCTTGATGTCCCTTGAATCCATTAGACTTTGGCCACACCCACACAGCTCTAGGTCACTTCCTGGGAACCAAACTGTCTGCCCTGGGAACAAGAACAAGATAGGTACTTCAGAATCAGGCCAGCATCCTGCTTAGGGCCATCTCCTCTGTCCAGTTCCAGACCCATAACAAAGGACATTTCTTTGATTCCCCTTCCTCATCTTGGAGGGTGAACGGGACTTAGGGATATTGACTGTGACAATCACAGTTTGCTCCAGCAGCCTAACTGTTGAAATTGGTCCTGGCTTGGCCCTCAGGTTTTCCCTGGGTCTCAGCTTCTTTTTCTGTAAGAAGCAGTTTCTCTTTTTCCTAAATGGTCCATACACTCCCAGAGCTCTGTGGCTATTGTGGCATCCCGAAAACCTTCTCTAAGATAAAGTTCAGCTTCCAGGGAAGATGGGCAAGCAAGTGAGACTCACTCGCCTCCTCTGCCTCCTCCCTCAGGGTCATCTCAGGGGCTTTTCCATCCACAGAACCCCAGAATTCTACCCCATAGGGCCCAGGTCCAGGCCTTTCCCTAAAAATGAAGTCCTCAGATGCTGCCTGATCCACAGAGCCTCCAACTGACTCCCAGCCCTCTGTGGCTACAGCAAGTTGGCTCCTGACCCTGCCCAAACTGCAGCTGCTCTTCTGGATAGACTGTGTTTTCATAGGGAACAAGGAGACTCCTGTGGACTCGGTTACCAGAGAAAGGGCCACAGCCAGGCATAAATACCATCAGAACTCCAAGGAGCTGACATCCAGGTCTCACCCGCCTTGATCCAGCCCATGTCCATCATCTCTTCTAAAGTTTGGCAGGCCAGTGTCTGCTTGGCTCTCACCTCTTGAGCAGGCATTTCTCCCCAAAGGGCAGGTATGGGTCAGCCAGCTACTTCCAGATGGAAACTCTGGGGTGGTGACAGATACTTCAACAAAGCCCCAGGGAGGCCTCCTACTTTAAGAACCATCTCCTGGAGGCTCCCACCCAGGCCCCCACCCCCGCGGGAGGGAATCTACCAGCATGACCTGACGCCCACAGGTCATATAAGCATCTCCCCTTCTCACGCCCTTCACCAGCCTGGCTGCCCACTTCTACGTTCTCCAGGCGAAGTAGGAACTGTGCCATGGAGGCAGACATGGACACGTGGACACGTGGACAGAAGGAAGCGGAAGATGCGAGGCTCTATAATTCCCAGAGCTAGTCTGTGCTGTAATTCCCACTCGGTTGGTTCCTTCCAGGCAACTTCTAAAGGTGTCCTCCAAACCCTACCTTCAATTAGGGGGCTGCTTGGCTCCCTGGGAGAGTGGGGCAGCCATGATGCCAGCCAACACAGCTTTTCTGGCAGAAGGTATATGCTCTGCTGCAGGGACTGCGAAGGTGGAGAGGAATCCAGAGATGTGACACATTTGGGATCACACCTAGCAGCAGTGAGGAGTAGAGGTGAGTGTTCTCTGTGACACTGCTGCTCGCACACAGAAACCACTTCCTCTCTCCTGACCCCAGGGTGACTGGATGGTAAGTCAAGTTCAACAGCAAGAACCTGGAACTCCCTGACAGTGTAACCATGATAGCTTGCTCTCCACCTGGTCTCTCTACTTCTCCCAGACTCACTCCTAGGAAGCCTTTCTGGGCTAGACGTACTTGAAGCCTTTCTGGGCTAGCCATACTTGAAGCCTTTCTGGGTTAGCTATACTTGCATCTGCCATATTTCTAGTTCGTGCCTCAACTCTTACTACTGGGCACTCCGGGCACTACAGAAAGCTCCTCTTTCCCAGGGATTCTGCACTAGGCACTGCTCTTGTTGTGGCTTGGCCTAGTTGGCCTGAGCAGGACATTTTGGTAGCATGTTTCTCTCTTGTCCATTCCCATGGGAAAGGTACTCTGTTCTCTAGGGGCTCAACACCTCTATTGAATGCCAAATGGAATTAGAGTCTTAGAATTCTACCAGTCAGGGCCTCCTCTATCCCAAAGGTTCTCAGAGCGTAGTGCTAATTGGACTAAAAGAGGGGGTTGCATGAAATTACAGTTGTTCAAAACCACCTCCTTGAGAAGGATTCTCTGCCCTGGGAGTGAAGGGAAAGGCTGAACATCGGTTCACCCCTCAGAATCATATTTTCCTTCCTGACAGGCGTCCGCCTTCCCACTGTTCTCTACAAAGGTGCATTCGCCACGAGCAAAAATGATGGTGACTTTCTCAGTGAAGCTGGCAGCCCTCTCAACATGGGCACCATGGGGACACATCTGCCTGTACGCAGAACCCCAACACCTTAGAACATCGAGGAATTTTTCTGTTCTACAAGCAATGTGAGTTGCTTGTCTCAGTCCGTGTCACCGTAGAATTTTAGGTGAAGCCATGTCAGTCTTCTCTACTGAGGACAGTTGTCCCGTGATCATCTTCCCTTCTGTGCCCTGTGTCATGTGGGCAATCTTTGGAAGGCAGGTTCACATAGGAGGGGCAGTTCATTCTTCTCCACTTGCAAGCTTTCAAACAGGTCACACACCTGGACTTGAGGTACTCTTTCTCTTCTTGAGCCACCCCCCCCTCTGCACTCAATATCCTGTACGAAACGCAGCTACAGATCTCACCCACCTCTTCATCCCAAACCTTCATCCCAATCCCATTAGCCCTGGGTCCAATGGCTGTGCTTGCTCTATCTATTCTGGCTGGTATGTTTCCTGGAGTGTGGAGCCTGTACAAGTGTGTGTATGTGTGTGTGTGTGTGTGTGTGTGTGTGTGTGTGCATCCATGCACCTCTGTATACCCTTTTCCCAGAAAATTGGGAGCTCCCTAAGCAAGGGACTTTGTACTTAAACTAGATTCATGTAGCCTCCAACCCCAGGTCTAGCTTCTACATCAAAAAGGACCTCGGGGGCAGAGGACATCTGAAACTCCTCTGCTTCCCTTCTCAATTGCTCTGCTTTGATAAACTGGACTTGTCAGAGGGAAGTTTCTCTGGAAGTCTATATCTCTAGGCTGATGTGTCTTCTTGCTTCTTCTATACCTGAATCAAGCTCACCTATTCCTCAATAGACAGATCTCAAAAAAGGAGCCTACAATCTTCCAGCTTTAAAAAGTCGTGCCCCCCCCCCCCAGAGCTCTCTTTATCCATGGTACCCACAGCTAGGGCCACAGATAGAGACATTTAAATGAGACAATAATATGTCTGCAAATGCGTGACACTACCCTCTCACAAGACATTCAAGAGCCAGGGAGGAATGAACTGTGAGAATGGGTGGTCAAGTGTCCCAGTAGGACTTGGGCTAGCTTACTTCCTAAGCATCTTCCTGACCACAGGAGACACTGCCAACTGCTTTTTCTCCTTCTTTGGAGCTCCCAGGATCCCAAAAAGGACAAACAACTCAATAAAACCTCATCAAGCACTCTGCTGTGGTTCTTGGTCTTTTCCTGGGCTACACATGCAACAGAAAGGCCAAAGTACATTACGCTGCATTCACTAGGAACCCTTCCTCAGCCTCATAGAGTTTCTGCAGGCTCTGCCTAGCAATGATTAAGGCCAGCTCTGACAGAGCCTGCTCTTTCCGATGGTATCTGTGTGGCCACTAGCGAACCCACACATGGGTGGAGCATGTGAGCTTTCTGTGGAAACAGACCCGGCATAGGCAGGATGGTGGGTGAGAGTAGGCAAGGACCAGAAAGGACCCCATCTGTGGTCAGGAGTAGAGTCCATCGCTAGCAGCCAATCCATTAGGGGAGCATGTCCAGTACTACAATCCTAGTGCTGGCTTGACAGGAGTGAAGGGTGGGGACTGGGATCACAGCTCCGAACTTTGCTACCCAGCAGAATCAGCTGAGGATTTAGAGTTCCACTTCCTGTGTCACCCTCCATACTGACAGGACCTAGGTACTGTTTTTGTAAAAATTCCCAGGTCATTCCAGCCAGCAGTCAAGTTTGAGATTAGCGGATGAGAACTTTACATTTGTGTGCTAGCTGGGATGCAGGGAGACAGGACAACTAGGAGGCATGGAGAGCAGGACATCTGCAGAGAGTTTGGGCAAAGCCTTTCCAGAGGGAGGGAACCGTAAATCTAGCTCCAAAGGGCACAAAGCACTTTTGATATGATCTTACCCAATTCCTAACAGCTGCAGAGACTCAGAGAAAGGCAGTGACTTGCCCAAGACAGCATAGTAGAGAACAGTAATAGCCAAGCTGGATTCCTGCCACAGTTCAAGATGCAAGGTGTGGTGAGTGGACATGCCTAGGCTATGTGCTATGTGTGTATCAGTGCATGTGCATGCACAGGATGTATTGTGTGTGTCTCTGTGGATATATGTATATGGTAAATGTGTGTATTCATGTGTGGAAATATACTGGTAATGTAAAATATCTGCGCGTATACGTACGTGCATGCACTAAATGTATGCAAGCAAGTATATACTCATGAGTGTGGTGTTTGTATGCATATGCACATGTATATTGTTTTGTGTATGAGCATGTGTCACATGTGCATATAAGTGAACATATGTGTGTATATTCATGTATATCAGAGCATGTGTATATATGTAATTGTGTCCATGTGTATAGAGTAACTGTACGTCTACAACATGTATATCTGTGTAAAGAATGTATGTACATGTATATAACACAAACCTACAAAGAATATCAATAAGGATATCTGACATCCTTCCATGTTATTATGGTCAAGCATCATACACCTTCTAGAAGTCATATCCCTTCACAGAAGCACCTTTTAGCTTTTTAAACCCAGATTAAATGACACATTAGTATTTAAAATCGGGGAGGGCAGCCCACCAAGCAGGTTACCTGGCAGTGTGGTCACTGCTCCCTCAGTCTACCCTTCAAGATATTTTTACAAACTCTGCCAATGATGGGATCCAGGGAAACAAGCAGTGTTTGCTACAAAACACCCTGAGATAGGCCACATTTTTGCATGTGTTGTAACAGGTCAACAGAAATACTGGCTAAAACCATGACTTCAAGCCAAGAATGGTAAAGAAACAGAATTAGTTCATTTGAAGTTTAATTAGCATGTTTTGCCTCCGGAACAAGCTTAAACACAAATGCCCTTTACACATCTCTCAGCTCCACTTAGCGCCCGAGAAAACAACTCCACTGTGATGTTAGCCTGTAGTCCGTGGCCAGGGAAGGATAACCTTCAAGAGAGGAATGAGCAGAGTTTTCCTCGGGCAGGGGATCGTGCTGAGATACAGACAAATACAAACACGCAAGTCACCAAAGGCAGGGCCGCCCAAGGCTGCCCTTTCATAGCTCAGAGGAGATGGCGGGAAGCTTGTAAGCGGAGCAGGCACCCCCACGAGTCCAGTCAAACTCCAATTTCTGAGCACAGGGAATAAAGACTCTGTGTTTCAGTGGGAAATACCACTTCCGAGAAGGGAGAACTTCTGGCCCAGGTTGGGAATTTAGAATCACAGACATCTAAGTAGGCAACATCACGTAGTTCAAATGTTGGCTGTGCGGGATTCTTTGGGAGAAGCAGTAGAGGGGGGGCCTCTTTTATGGAACTTTGTGTGTGCCCTGTATGTCTGGTGTTGCTCTTGAATCAAATGAGATGTGGGGTAAGCTGTACGAAGAGATTCCAGATGAGTTGTATAAGTCTGGAACGCATAACTGGTTGACAGTCCTTCACCCTCATAGCAAAGATCACCTTCAACAACCAGGGGGCTTCCCCCACCCTTAGGGCCGTCAATAACCCCTAGCAAAGACCTCTTGCTGAGCAGGTTTGACATCCCGACCCTCCCCCATCCCACCACAATTTGCTTATTTCCCACACAGTCAGGAAGAAAACACAAGAAGAGATACCCTGAGAACATAGGAAAGCAATTTCAAGGCCAGTTCCAACTGGTAGATAGCTACCTCCCTCTGCATAATCTCCAGCCCTCCTGGGGACTTCATGACCAAGCTGAAGAACCTCATTTACCATGAATCAAGAGGGAACAGGTAGAGATGTGGCTTTAAATAGTGCCAGATTCTTTCTCCAGCCCGTAACAGCTCAATCCCCCATCCTTAAAAAAACAAGGTGACAACAGTGGACCTGGTGGACAAGGGTCTGACCAGGACTGTGGGTAAATGTCCCTGATTGTTCACCAGGGGCACAAGGAGCAAGTGGCTATTCTGCCAAGTAACCCTTTGGGCTGGGGCAGCCTTCTTTAGAGCTGGGTTCTAACCAGAATCTCCCTGGATATGAGCCCAGGAGCTCAAGACCCATTGAAACCATGGCTTTGTTCCAGAAGAAGACTATCTGAGAAGTCAAGTGTCCAGGAGCAGAGGACTTCCACGGCTGCCAACTGGTCTCTGCCAGGATGGAAAGCAGGCTCCTGGCATGGAAATCACCAGGAGAAAGAGAGAGCAGAGTGGCCCACGAAGCAAATACAGAATGCTTGGGCGTTTCGGCTAAAGAGGACGGAGAAATCTGATGAAAACAAAGCCAGACAAACCAGACACACCAGGTTCAAGTGCCCCAACCGCCTATTCCAGCTGGGAAAACTGGCCCCCTTTGGGAACCTCCCCAGAGGCTGAAGTTAGAGGAGACACACCTACAGGGCCAGTCTCAGGCGGGCTACCGGACAAGTATGCATTAGGAGACATCAGAGTCAGCTCTAAGCCTGCGCCTGGCTGGATCCCCTTGGGGGACCATTGGTAGAGACACCATCTGATGGTTACCCACAAAAACCAAGCTAGAAGCAGCATACTGAGACGACAGGGTTCGTCCTGATAGGGAGAAGGGACGATGGGCCACGCACCCAGTTTGACATGTTCCTGGCCCTATGGGCCCAGAGTTGAGGCTGGTGGAGCTGGGTGGAAAGGGGCAAGGTTAAGCATGTGCCAGGGGAGAGTGGGTGGCCTTAAGCTGTGCCCTGGGCTGTGGCTGGATGAAGCCCTTTGTCACTCCAAACCTGCTTTCAAATGAAGCTAGTAAGCAATGACAAAGGTGCTAAATAAAAGGGGAGAGAGGCCAGGGAGTGCGCATCTGTAGGGCAGGAGCCAGGAGCCCAGACAAGGGCAAAGGGCACCCAGAACAGGGAAGCCTTTTGGTGTGGGAGGTGGCAGAGTCAGCTGACAGCCATTTTCTCTCCCTCGGTGCTACAAAGAGTTCGCCAGGGAACAGAGGGGAAAGAACACATGCCCAGGGCAGAGAGTTAGGGCCTGTGGGCACACTGGAGAACTGGCAAATCTATCTACTTTGTCGCTCGCCCCTGCCCCTCACTGTCTCCTAGGTCTCTGCTAAACATGCTCTACTTGACCTGTACTGGTTCACACTGCGCCCTGTTACTAGCATTTTACTCAATTTGGCTAAATAATAAAAATAAAGAAACGCATAGTTTTGCTGATTATGTTTTATAACCAAAGGTTGGCGTATTTCTCACTGAGAAGTCTTTGTATGAAAATTTTCCTCTAAAATGTCTACATTAACAGCTTGTCAGGTATACTCTCCATCTTCAGCCCTTCTCCTGGCCTCTCCTAATCTAAGACCTTGTCACTCACAGACTCTGGGATGAGGACAGAACTGGAAGCTCAAACTGGTGAAGTCGGCTCAGCTGAGACTATGAATGTTCCGCTCCCCCCACCCCAGCTCGTATTCACTTCCGGTTTCACACTGTTTGCTACTCAGGAGAAGGGGGCTCTGTATTAGCTATTATTAGAGAAAGGGGCAGGTACCTGGACCCTCTTCCTTGCCATAGGAACACTGGCCCTATGATAGACTTCTAATAGATTTGCATCTTTCCAGTTTGGTTCCAGAGTCCAGGTAAAGTGGCAGGGAGCCCCAGGGACTAGTTGTGGGAGGAGGTGGCGCTGACTTTCCTCATCCCATAGCGCCTCTCCTAAATCCAAACTCCATCACAGTAACTCAGTCACTTTTTTTTTCCCACTGCACACACCACCTCCACCAGGAATGTTGTCCCTCTGCGCCTGGGTGGAAGCTGGAGGCTAAAGGTTCCGGTGATTACAAAGCCTGGGAAAGGTAGCGTGAGCACGCTAGGTCTGGGACTTCGGGACAAACATTTCAAGATAATACGGGTTTGGTACCCCCAGAGCAGGATTGGGAAAAGAGAGCCCTCTGGATTCAAGTCTCTCTTGAAAAGTACTCCCAGCAATGCTCCCCTACGTGAGCTATCCATCTTGACCCGCAGCGTGCTCTCTTCACCCACAGGGTGGACTCACTCCCAACCGTGTCCCACAGTGAGCTACCCGGCCTGACCCACGGTGCATTCGAGCTCCAGCAGCAGGCTAGCAGGAGGCGGGCGAGTCCACCCTGTGGCAATGACCTGAGAGCTGGGCTGTGGTCATTCCTTGCAGACCCCGTCTGGGAAGGCTGATGCTCAGTCCCCACCGGCAGATAGGAGCGCGTAGGGACGGACGCACACATCCCGTGGGCGCCGCGCGCCTTTACCTCTGTTGGAGTGGCTCAGGGTGGACGACTGCGAAGACTTGGACTTCTGTCGTTTGACAGTCATCATCACCTGCTCCTGCACACGCTGCCTGCCCGACGTGCCGGTCTTCATCTTTTGATCGGAGGGCAAAGCCAGCGTGGAGTTGTCCTGGTCCTGGAAGCATTCGTACGCCAGCGCGGTCTTGAGTGGCGAGTGGTTCATGGCGACAGTGGGCGCGGGCTGGGGGAGCCTAGAGGCGCGGGGTGCAGTGCAGCGGGGTGCGGGCGCGTGTTCTCTTCTCAGCGGCTCCCTATGGCCATAGAGCACTGGTCCGCGTGAAGGCTCCCGGCTGCTGCTCCTGGCGCCTCCACCCCAGCTCGTCCCTCCGCAGGCACTGGCGGGACCCGCCCTCCGTCAGACAGGATATACCACCCCTGCCCTGCACCACCCACTCCGCCGGTTGCCACTCAGACGCGAAGTGCAGGGCACTGCCTCTGCCGGGAGGGCGCTGGGGTGTGTTTGGGGCGGGGGAGTGCCCGGTGTGCAAAGTTCCCTACCTGGTCCTTCCTCTCTCCCTCCTCTACAGTCCAGGGGAAACGCCCCTAGGTCCTGCTCATACCGGCTCCTGGAGAAAGTGTGTGCTCAGCTCAGGGCCGAGGGGGACCTCTGTCGAGGAAAAGGAAGCTTTTCTTGCTCAACTCCCCGTCTCGCTGCCGCCTAAAGCGAGGTGCCCCTCAAGCACTGAGGTTATGGCAGAGACCAGCCCTGTGCTGTGGGGGCTCCCAAGTTGATAGTAGAAGTTTCTCTCCCAAGAGATGGCTCAGTTTTACAAGGGCAACCCATTCCACTCTACTGAAGCCTTCAGCTTGAAGGGAGTGAAGTCGAGGCAGGGGCAAAGTAAGACAACCCTGCAAAGCAGCACTTCTGACACTTGAGGCTATACCCACCGTAGAAATCGTGTCAACAGTGGGTCTTCTCTGGAGTATTGTATACTACCTCTACAACAATGCCGACATCCAATAGGCACGCAACGAAAGTTAAGATGAACTCTAATTCGAAACCCATTCAGACCCTGACTGAAAAACTGGAAGCTGTCTCATTTCTAAAACCCCGCACTATGTATCTCTGTGTGTTCTCCTCTGTGTATGAGCAACCTTAGAATGTTCATAGGGATATTTCAAGCACGCGGCATCCTCCTCTGGGGCTATGGAGGGAGCCCACGGCAGTGAGCTTGGTGTGGACCGGCAGCTGAGTCCTCCGAAAAGTTCTTTGATGACAATCTTTCTAAAAGGCTTCACACCCAGCCTTGTACTGAAGCAAGCGATACTGGAAGTATTTTATGCTTTTCTTGATGACTCAGGTTTCTGGTTCTGGACATCCACCTCTGGAGTGCGTAGCAGTGCAATCCGGCCAGCTTAGGTTTAGGGTCTCAGGAACTGTGAATGCCGCTGCTCTCGCTTTGAGGTGTAGCTGTAGCTCATAGCCCACACAAGTCCCTTGTAGTTCACTCCTTTAACCTGCAGAGGAAGGAACAGTCACAAAGTAAGACTGGATACTACTTACGCATAAGGAATGGCCAAGGAGACTGATGTGACCACATGAAGTGGGTCCAGAGAAGCAGGTGTCACGTATAGGCCACTCAGGGGTTCTCCAGAGGGCATGCATGGGAGCCACCAGCACAGCGGATTATTATAAGGCAGATAATAGCTTTCTCTGGAAACAGTTGTATACTGTATAGGATTGTGTTCTTAAAAAAAAACAAACTTAAGAGATGTGGCCCCAAATATGCCATCATTAAATACTAAAATTAAACACCTCAATCCTTTGCCATCCAGCCATAGACTGCCCTGAAATCACCCTGCCTGGCTCCATATTTCAGTGTTAGGAAGAGAGGCAGCCTGCTCCTAGTGTCCCAGTGAGTAAGTGACAAAGCTTCTTTTCTAACCAGGCCTGGCGGCCCCTGGTCCATTGCTTCTTCCTTCACACTATCCAGCCTCTCTCAGCAAACACCTATAAAGTGGGCATTAAGTGCTACACACATTGGTTACATAAGAGCACAAGTGTGCCACCAAGTACACAGGAAGGCTTATAAAAGTACAATTCCATTATATCATACATTTGGACTACCTGAGACCTAATGGGTTAGTCATAATAAACCTTAATTGAGACTTTAGATAATGATAATTTTGTTACCTTCTATAATACACACAATGGAATATAATAACACGAATGGAATAGTCTTATGAAAATCAAGTCCATGGAAGCCCAAACTGATTTTCTTTAAAACTTTTCCCAGGTGTAAAGTTCAATTTGTCTGGCTACCGCGGTATGATTTGGATACTGACATTATTTTTACAGCACCAATGGCAACAGGTAGCATTCAATATGCCATTACAAGCACTACCTCCAGATCAAGCTCTGGGTCCTCCGTATGTGACCCATGCCCTCCTTAGAATGATCCTATGAACGTGGTGCCAGCACGATCGCTTCTCCTTTTCAGATGCGGCAACTGAGGCACTGTAAGGTTACCAGGTTAGTAATTGTCAGAAGCGAGTCCGAGCACCAACAGCTGGATCCAGAGCATGGCAGCGCCCAGCTGCTTTCCTACCGTTTCCTTATCAAGCAGCAGCCTCCAAACCCTCCCAATTTTAAAACTATTGATTTTCAGCACACGGAAGTCAGACGAGCTGGTATAAAACCCTGACTTTCCTGGTGATGTCCCTTAGTGTCTCTGCACTGCAGCAGGTCTACATTGGTCTATACTGCACGTGTCCTTTATCTGACCCCATCCCCCAAACTTCCCTGAGAGGTGCTATCCTTCACTAGAGAAGCACACTTTGAAGCTAGGGCAGCCATGAAGCCTGAGAGCTATGAGAAGGGATCTCGAACAGTCTAGGCACCCGTACAAGACCAGATGAAGGGGGATATTCGCCTGTTTCCACCATCTCTCCCCTCTTGTCCCACTCCGTATGGGGTCCTAACTCAGAAAATAGCCAGAAAAGAAGGTAATCGTGCTAAGTCACAGAAAGTGGAGGAGTACTGCCACCCAAGTGGAGTTCTGTGGCATGCTTTTGGGAGACCGTTGAACACGCATTTAGGCAGGGAGAGAATTTCCAAGTGGAGTTCTGTGGCATGCTTTTGGGAGACCGTTGAACACACATTTAGGCAGGGAGAGAATTTTGATGGGTAAGTTTGAGTTTGGAAGCTAAAGGAACGGTCTGTGGAAAACTTCCTAGAAGAAATTTTGTTTTGACCTAATTATGAAACAATACAAGCAAAATTGCATCCTCAATGTTGTTGAAAGGAATGAGTAAGAATGGACTCTAATTTTGTCTGGCACTTGCCTACAGCATTAAGTTGACCCAGATTTCACTCAGCACTCAAGCTCCCTCCCTATCTCCGTGAGAGGAGAACATCTTGTGGCCTTGGTGGAGTGTGGATTCATTTATCCAACAATTATTTACTGAGCAGCTATTTACTGTATGACAGGGAAGCCAGGCAAATGGAGGAAGGAGAATGACCCAGAGGAGGCACAGAGGTCCCTTGGGCTCTTGCTACTTCTTGCTTAGATTCAGTCCTACTAGATGAGTGGACCGTCTCCACCTGTACCCCAAACTGATACAGAATTCCCAGGGATATTAAAGATGGGATACTCTTGTTTTCTGGGTTCCTTATTTAGCCCACCTCTCTGAATGTGTCCTGTGCTCTAGGACAGTGGCCAATGGGGCTGACTCTGTTGTCAAGGCTTTTCAGCCATACAGTAGGCTGCTCAAGGACTGCCCAACTCAGGACTCAACCTCCCTGAGACATCCTCATCACCTCCTCCGCAATCTAAATATGCGCCCATCCTTCCCCTTCATTTTTCTTCTACCTTCTGTTGCTCCTACCCCTGTGTTGATGCCTGCTCCCATGCCTTCACATGGATACTATTCCCTCTGCACAGAGCATACTCAGTCAGACACTTAAGTGTACTGAGTCCTAAGTGAGCTCGAGGCCACACCAGCCCCTGGAGCTTACCCAATAAGAAACACCCAGCCTGTGTCCCACAAGGCTTACCTGCTACAGGGATGCACAAGGATGAAAGGTTACATGAGCTAGCAAAACTACTGAGAATAGTATTAGGTACCCTGTGGGAAACGTGAGTGGTGATAGGTAACACAGAGAGGCAGCTATAGCCACTGGGACAGAGAATGCCAGCTTGCAGAGACCTGGACCATTGAGGCGACTGTCCATCTCTGAAAGAGCTCCACAGTCTGTCAAACCCTGGGAAGCCAAACATCAGTGACAGGGAGGCACGAGGTGTGCAGGCAGGCAGCACGCTTCTGAACGACTTCCTGCAGTACGGGAGATGTCTGTGATGGCTGCTTCTGTTAGTTAAAACCACATGGAATTTTACACCCTACCACATTTCAAGCACCCGGTAGCCATTGCTGGTGGCCACCACGCCAGGCTGTACAGGACTCTGTAACTTCTACCTAGTTTAACTTTCTCAGAGTAACGAGAAGCCATTTACAGGTGTTAATAAAGGCGGTGACAAACGGTCCCACTTCTTCCTTATTGCCACATACGTTCCTGTTATCCCTGAAGAGCAAACCCCAAGCCAGATTCCATCTCCCTCCTGGAGTCCATTGCGCCTCCCTGTTCTTATCCTTCACTCTCCTTCATGAGACCCATGAGTCTCTACGGCTTGAGCAGCTTGAGGGGAAGATGCTGTTGCTCATTGCAGCGTCCTGAGTCCACGAGCTTGATGAACATTTGTTTGGAGTGAATGACTTCTCATCTTGTACACAAACAAGCCTGGATGCAGACCCTTCCCAGACTCTTGAGTCAGCCGGGCTCAGCGTACCACAAGCCTTCGACTCTAAAGTCTGTCTCCCCTAAGGGCTCCACCTGCTAGCAGGGATCTCAGCAATGCATGCTCACCTCCCAGCCTGTATCTCTGGGTGTCCATGCGAACACAAGGAGCCCCTCTTTCTCAAGTCCCAGGGTAAATTTACTCCAGGAAGGCAGAATTTATTTAACCCCACTTTGTCCAGCATACTGAAAGATAACCCCACCTGGGGACTCATTTCGCCAGGATTCTAAAACCCATGCCTCACAGAGACCCTGTGGTCCAGACTTGTGAACCTTGACTTGTGATGAGACCATACACCACCTTTCAGCAGGCAGCAGGACCTCTGGTCCTAGAAGTTACAGGAGCACCCAGAAGTTCCCAGCTATGG